CTCTTGGAGGAGAGACGAAACGTTTCATTAGAGAAGAACCCGTCCAGAAGACCTATACAATTTTTTTCTTTTAGATATGCATCATCTTATCGCCTGCCGCCAAACCAAACAAAATAAAAAAATAACATTTTAAAAGTGGGGTGGTAGGTTTTGCTTCTATATGCTTTTGTTTTGTCCTGTCATCAAAAAAATCTCATGAAACAGAGAAGAGATTTGAATGAAACTCGGGCAATAACTGCTCATTATCACTCAAACTCCTTGTTTGGAGTCAACCAATTTCAAAATGGCCACCACAGATAATCAATCTTTGTAAACTGCTTCAACTCCACCTTTTCTCATCATATGAGATGTCTTTAGTTGTGAGTTTATACTATGAAAAAACCTATCCAGCACTTGGAAGTGTTATTCTCAGGAACAGTGGTAGGACATTGCAAGGCTTCAAATCTAAGTTTAAGTGAAAACTGACTTGTTTTCTTTGAATTCAAATTTAAGATGAGCTTTCATGTCATATTCTGCTTCATATTTAAACCTACAGACCTGTCCTCTGGACTCCTCGATCTTTTCATGTAGTCTTTTACGCAGCACATCTACTGTGGAGAAGCTTGTGTTAACATTGCCTCCGTTAAGACAAAAAAAAGAGATCAAGTGATGTTAAAAAACAAGAACTCATGACATTTGACTGTTGACTTGAAATCACATACGGTACCTGTCTGTGGTGTTGGTTTTGCTGCAGCGGGACTTTTCTGAGCCACTGCAGGAGGCGGCTTCTGTTGGGGTTTGGGAGTTTTCTCATCACCACACTTTTCTTTAAGATTCTTCTTTTTTTGTTTCTTTTTCTTCTTTGATGGATCAGTATCACTTTTACCTTTGAAATGAACTAAAGAAAAAAAATAAAACAACATGTGCACATTAGGGATGCAACAATTAATTATTCAGCAATCAGAATTGGACTATTTTAAGTTATTAGGTTATAATCAGTGGATGCATGCATGACTCAGCAGCTAACTTTTAGTAGCAAGTGTTCTTTAGTGTGGAGGTTTAAATTGGGTGATACAGATTCAGATAACATGTCTACTTTCATGTTCTGAGGTGCGGCAAAGAAAAGCTCTATGGTTTATTAAAAATACAATAAAGTAAATTTTTTTTGTACAAATCCATTTGTCCAATAACCCGTAGAATATTATTTGTAGATTCCAGGGAAACAGAGAAGAGAGAGTTCTTTAATCTGGAGCTGTTTTAACTTATTATTACAAACACAAACCCAACTTTTAAATTCAACCAGAAACTATAAAAACAAAAGTTGTGTCTTATTATTTTAAAAAAAAGTAGCAGGTCAGAACGTTATAAAATCAGAAATCCCAATCAGCCAGGAAAACTGTGATTGGTGCAGTTCTAATGATGATCACATGCTTTAAGATACTAATGACTTCCTTGATGCAGAATGGGAAGCCGGTCGAGGCAGATGGCCGCCTGTCCTGAGCCTGGTTCTGCTGGAGGTTTCTTCCTGATTAGCAGGGAGTTTTTCCTCTCCACCGTTTGCTCAGGATGGGAGACTGTGATGAAGTGATTCAACGCAGCCTGCTGGTTTCTTCTTTAGATTATTCTTTTTATGTACAGTGCCCTGAGACAACGTATGTTGTCACTTGGCGCTATGTAAATGAACTGAACTTGGACTTAAAGTTATCAGACTAATGATCTTACCAAACTTCAGTAATAATCTATAAATAAGGAAAATCCAGTAAGTAAAAAACAAATTGTGTCACAAAAAAAAAACCTCCTGATCATCTATTTTCTTATTTTTCTGAGACATGTGAGAGCTGGCTTTGGGATTTTTATGTAAACACTTTTGCTTAAAAAAAGACACTTGAAGATCTTAAAAGTAATTTGTAAGCTCATGTCAACAAGCTGCTTTATGACTTTTTATTAGGGTGAAATTGACTGTTTTTTGGTCTTGATGTGAAATAATATTCTGACTCCTTAGTTGAGTGTCTATAGGCTCTCAACCTGTACGTATAAAAACTATGTTAAAACAAATTTAATTAACTTTGTTTTTTAAGTTTTACATCAGTTTGCAAATATCTTAGTTTCCCGCTGCTTTAAATTGTGGTCAGTCTGCTTCCCTTATTTGACAAACTCTCTTTCTTCTAGAAACAGCATCAGCATCATTTATCTGGTAGTAAGCAAAAAAAAAAAAAAAAAAAAGGTTCTGGCTGTCTCACTACTCCACCATATATTCTCAAAATTGGATCATCCTACTTTTTGTTTTATTTTGATTATTGGCGTTTCCTTAAAATAGTTTCACATCAGTTTGTGGTTATTAAGTTCACACTGTTCAGTTCACATTTCTTCCGTGATTTGAGCCACCATGCAGCTCACATTAATATTTTCCTCACATTTACAGTACTGTTGTGTTCAAATTACAGGTATTTACAATAATATGCTTGTTAAAAAAAGATTTGTTTTGAAAAATACATGTTCTTCTTGCTATGACAAGATATCTACAATAACTCTATAGTTAAACAAGTACAACAACACCTAATTTCCCTCTGGAATCAATAAAGTATTTTGAATTGAATTTAATATTTTTCAATTTTTCACTTCTAAATATTTATTCATTTCATTAAAAAAACAAAATAACTATATACAATAGAAAAAGAAATACTCAATTCAAAAATAAAATGAAAGGTAGCAGAAAAATAAATCTGATAAATGTCTGCCCCTATTTTTTTATCCCCAGAATATATTCAAAGAAAACATAATTTAMAAAACTATACTAAAATAAAAATAAAAACAGCTCAAACAACAATTCATATATCTTCACATTCTTTAAATCAGATGTTTCATTTTATCTAAAATAGTTTTACACAACACTAAAATTACAAGGAATACATTTTTAGAATCAAAACTAATATTTTTAATATAAGTATCCCTAATTGTTGATTCTTTTAACAAATGTTATTTTTAGAGAATAAACTTAGAACACAGGTGTTATAGCGCCTCCTGTGGCAAAGAGTAGAGCTACATGTAAAGACTGACGACCTTTTAAACTAGTGTTTGAGATTTTTTTTTTTAAACCACCAACAGTACAGACATAATAAAAGGAGGGGCAAAATTAGATTTTTAACACTCATACAATCTCAAATCATACAATAAAGTGTAAATATGCCAGTATTACCAAACGGTCTCTTCTTCGGCTCCTTCTCTTGCTGGGAAAATAATTTACTTGCCAGTTTCTGAATGTACGAGTCTTTTGCAGCGAGGTCCGCCATGTGTTCAAATAAACCGAGTTTCTACCGCTAAAACTGCTACAAAGGGATAAAATTCAACGGTAAAAAAAATATCAACATCTTCCTATCGGCACGTGGATACAAGCAGGAGGAGGAGTATCGCAGACACACCGGAAGGAGTAACATCAAAAACAGTCCCCCGGTGTGACCGTTGTTGTTTTGTGCTGCCTTCCGCCTGTCTTACCTGAATGTTTTCATTCAGGATGGCTTCTTTGAGATTCCTGTTGACTTATTCCAGCAAGCTCCTTCCAGCATTTAGAAAACAAGTAAGTTGTTCGTAATATATTTACATTCCTGAGAAAGTTTGTTAGTTTAGTTTGTTTTCCCGTGATTTCAGTGTCCTGCCATTAACTTCAAGAGGACAATCTTCCTACCTCGATACCCTAAAAGTTCAAACGGTACGTAACATTAATGTCAACACAAACTGCATTTGTTTAAACCATTATTTAAAAATGTCAAGGACACATACGCATTGAAACATAAAACTACTGTGAACATTATTAGCTGTGTAGCTAGCTGTTGTCTGTCTGTAAATAGCAGGTGCGCTAGTGTAGTAAAATAAAATAATAAGCAGTGGGTTGTGTTAAAACAAATGACTTCAAATGAAGAATTAAAGTTTAGGAAAGTTGTTTCAAAGTTTGGTGATAATTGAAGTCCAAAATTTTATGAACAATGTGAAAAGTTTTAATGTTTTCACAAAAATTAGCATCATTCATTCATTCATTCATTCATTCATTCATTCATTCATTCATTCATTCATTCATTTAAATGGCACTGCATATAATACACAATAACATTAACATAAATGGATAACACATATTATTACATATTATTAGAGCTGTAACATTCAGTGAATGTTCATGTTTAACTTTTTAGTAGTTAGAATGACATTCATTAGCTATTTTTCATTAATTAACTTTTTTTCCCACCCCATATAGTGAGATTGTTACTCCAGACATTTATAGTTTCATTAGTTCTGAGTTAAATGGGTTGATTTTTGGGAAAACAGAAACTTGAAAAAAGTTTTTGCAGTTTCAATAAAAAAAGGTAGCTTTTGTTGTAGCAAAAGTTCAGGAAGATGCCGCAATTATCACTCAAGTGGGACATAAATAACTAGATGACAAACTGAACTCTGTGTTCCTTTCCTTTTTTATGATCAATGCAGGTTCCCATTATTCCATCCAAACAAAATATACTATGATTAAATAAAATATATTTCTTACAATTTTATTGATGGTCCTGAGGAGAATCACAAATTCATTTGGTTGGCACCAAAGCTGCAGCTGAGACAGTACTGACATAACATAAAGTATGTTCTTTGCGTGAAGAGAAATAAAATTGTTTGTTTGCAGAAAGTTATCACTGTGTCTTTTTGTTTACCTCACAACATAATGTAAATAATTCCTACACCTTCATGTTTCATTCCTTCTTTCACTGTTTGAGCTACTTTTGGTCATAATTCAGCTGGAATTTGAACATTTTCAGGCAGGTTTGTTAACTTCCAGCGACTGCACAGCGACTCTGCGGCAGCCAGCACAGGGAAAAGAGAAGACTCGTTCCTCAAATGGTTCCTGCTGCTCATCCCTGTCACCACCTTTGGCCTCGGGACATGGCAGGTACAACTCGGGATATTGTTTCCACGTTGCTTTTTCTGAAAGAATTCCTTTTTCGTATTTCTTGAGCTGAGTCAAACAATGTTACTTCTGTGAAGGTGAAAAGGCGTCAGTGGAAGATTGGATTAATTAATGAGCTGCAGCGATTGATCACAGCAGAGCCCGTTCCTCTTCCTCTTGAGTAAGTGAAAAGTCTCTTTGCGTTATTATTTCAAACTTGCTAAATCAATGTTGAAATAATAATGGAACAGCCCACACCTGTCTATAAAACTGCTTTTATGACAAATATTTGATTACTAATACATCTAGATCAGTGTTTCCCAAAGTTGGRGTCGGGACCCAAAGTGGGGTCCCGAAACATCAAGGTGGGGTCCTGAAAAGATTTTCTGAATTTATTACATTTTTGCCTTAGTTGTTACAAAGGAGTGAGGTTAGTATATTTAAAATGGATAAATGTAGT